TGTCTGTCCAAAATGCTGGCGACATTTAGTCCTGACATTGTTGTTACGTTGAGGTTTCTGTCCCAAATGCTAGCGACACCCTGTCCTGGAAATGTTGTAAGATTGAGGTTTCTGCCCGAAATGCTAGCGATACTTTGTCCTGGAATTGTGTAATATTGGGGTTTCTGTCCTGGACGACATTTTCTCACGCTCCTGGAATTCACAATTACTGCATTAAAGCCAAGAGCTCAAAATACACTCAAAAACGGTGGGAACGTGAAAATAAGGCAAAACCAGACATACGTGCATTTTCAACAGCAGCACCACAAAAATTCCAGGGGCCCTTTAAGTTAATAATATTTTGTAGAGTAGGTCTGGGGTTGACATCGAGATGTAACATTCATTCCAAAGTGTAAATGTGGGTACCCCACACTGATTTTTTTTCCTTTAGGTTTAGCTGGGAAGAACAGGCTATTGCTGAAGACTACGTGTGCACCGACAGAGACCACCAAAAGCGGCTGTAGCCACTTCCAATAGACACTTTTGCTACATGCCGGCTTCGGTTAAAACTGTATGGGGCTCCCTACGAGTGCTTCTGTCAAAAAGTCAGGGCAAGTTCGGCACGAATCGTAGTTTCACTGCTTTTGATTCACTGCTTTTTAATAATTATGCACAAATTTTGTAAAATCTCACCTGTATTCATCTTTTTTGCCGTTGCCTGTTTGCAACTCTCGTGGCGTTCGTGATGAATAACATTTCAGACAATTACTTTATTGTTTCGAGATTTATTTTGCGTCGGAGAGATGTTCATTTTACTTACGGGTTTTTCCCTTACACCGACCTGCATCTAACAACACTGCATTGTCAGTGCTAAGGTCGTGGTTTCGATACTCATCGGAGTATTAAGCTTGTGATTTTTTTTCTTTCACAAACTCTCGGACAAGCACTGAGAAAACAGTTTTATTAGATACACGTCGACGTGGGGGCAAAACCCTTAAGTATAGAATGAGTGGTTTTTATTGAGCTGAATACGTTCTGGCAGAGTTAGGCCGAGTCCGATACGAGCTTCCAGAGCTACGGCTAGGTCTATTGTCTACGCGTCTCCACGCATTTCCAATGGAGCAAAGACCTAGACCTAGCTCTAGACAACAGATGGGGATGCAGCCTTAGTTTAAAATTAAATGCACTTCTAAAAGCATACTTCCAAAGATCACAACGGCATTAAACATACAACGCCACGAATTAGACAAGGATGCCAATTCATGTTCTGCGGTCAGTGGGCTGCGGGTAAAGCGAACAAGATGTAGCTGTGCGCGGTCAGAAATTAATATTTGGCAATTAACGCGTGCTTATACTTGTGGGGGCGTGGTACCCTCAAAAATACATGTTCACAGCTACTTATCTGGTATCACAGCACAAAACTCACGCATTCTCAACAATCTTCCATTCTTCCAAACGGAAAACAATCGGGGAAAACCTGTAAAGTTTTTCACAAAACACTAAAAAAAAAGGACAAAATTACAGTTTCAGCAGATGAAATACACAGATAATACGGGCGATTCACAATTAGTGCGCCACCAAGATTTTCCAACACGTTGGCCAATCACAATGCGCGAAATTTGTTGACCCAATGCGCGTATGAAAAGGGTCGACAAATTTCGTGCGTTGTGACTGGCCAACGAGTTGCAAACTCTTGGAGGCGCACTATCGTCCGTATTCAAAACATCAGACGGCGCCAATGCATGTCATTTTTTCAACGTATAAGTAGAAAAAAGGGTTGTAAAAAGCAAACAGCAAAGGGTTGCAAGCTAATGTCCTTCAATACCGGTGATGCCTCCCTTTCATGTTAGCCAGCCCCATAATGACAGACCACTTGCGGGCTCAAAAAAACAGAGAGAAGTTTTTGGACGCGATCCCTGAATAACCTTCTGCAGAAAAGCTACGTGCCTTCTCCGGTTGCCCAAATAAGGTTGTTGAACTGGCTCGCCCTGAGGACCTCGATGATTCAGAAGGGGGGGGAAGGAAGGGAAGGGGCAGGATTAGAAAGATTTGTCATTGTTTCTAATTCCTCTGAGGAAATCAGCAATTTTTCCCCGTCCTAACCACCTGGAGAGGTACAAGGTGGCACGGCGATGCCAGAGCCTTGACCCGAACGGAAACAAGCAGTCATAAGAATAAGGATTAACTGGTTAATTCTATTCGGGTGTGGCGCCACCCAAAGGTCAGGAGGTAAAAGACAGACGATGGACAAAGCAAAACAAACACACACACAAACACCCCAACAAACGTATAGACAAACAAGCGACAGCAACAAAAGATGATAATAATCACAGGGGTCAGAGTAGCGCTTTTGGCACATTTTTTGTTAATTCTGAAGGAATTCAGAAGAAGGACCTTGCAAAAGCTGGACAAAGAAGCGACCTTGAAAAAGGAAAGCGGTCATTTTATCGGAAATTTCTTGACGGTGGCAATTATGCTACTGTTAAATTCCACACAGCATTCACCCCATTTTCAAAGGAAAAATATTCCCGCACAGCAACGTAGCCAGGAAGCAGTGAATGGCAAAACATAACGACCTGAAGACTTCAAGAGAAAATTCAGGACGCTGATAAACGAAAAAAAATCGGGGTGGGAAGTAGGTTATTACAGGAAAAATAGGCACAATGGCAGTGGATCACAAATTCAAACTTGGGATGGTGGAAAATGAACAATAAATGCTGTGAATATTTTGTTGCAAAAATACCCCCACATCATCCGTTAGCGTCCCCATAGCTTCCTTGTGTAATTGAACCTAGACAGGGACAAACATTCTGCCTTGAAAAGCCTAGTTACGCACCTGTTCCCATGGACAATTTCTCTTCGAGAACGTTTGTTTCGCCAGCAGTTTTTGTTTTGTTTTTGTTTTTTCCCGTTTTCTTCAGGGGCTTTATTGCTAAATAAGGTGCCTACTTCATTTGAAGTTTTCCTTGAAACCCTTAAAATTACACCCAGTGCATTTTCATGATTTTTTAATCAAAGAGTGCAAAACAGCCATATAGTTATAGGTTTGTAATTTCAGTAAGGAAGAAAACGGGAAAAACCTGTACGTGAGAACATTTAACTGAGGAGTTTCTGCCACTTACTGAAGGGAATTTGCACTGATGCAAACATAAACGTTCAAGTTACATTTGTCAGTTGATTTTCTGTTGGTGTCATTTTGATCATCAAATGAAACGTAGAGGCACCTTGCGCATCAACACCTGCACCAAGCGCTACGTATCCGTCAAAATCGTTGCCGAAGCGAGTCTGACGGCCAAACGCACACGTGTTGTGTTTATATGGAGTCAGTTTTTGTGTCTATGAAAGTGAAACGCGTGAACGCATCGTGCACGAAACGCACCAAAAAACATGCACAGGGGAAGGCGCCTTATCTATTTACATTTCTTCAGAATGAAAACAAATGTAAACATGAATATTCAACTGGGAAATTATATGGCATCAAAGTAGAACAGATTGTTGTCCCTGAACCCCCCCAAAAAAACCAAACAAACAAACAAACAAAAAAAACCACACAAAAAACACAAAAACCACAAACTATGGTGTTCCATATGTGCCATTAAGCGTCGCATTTTTCAACGGGCGTCGCATTTTTCGACCGGCATCGCACCTTTCAACCGGCGTCGCATTTTTCACCCGCTGTCGCATTTTTCAACCGCCGTCGCATTTTTTCAACCGCCGTCGCCTTTCAATGTGAATAAGCCATTAATCAACAATGGTCAACCTTGGTCCAGCTGGACCTGAAGTTGTTGACTTGGATGCTAAAAGTGTGCGTACATATTTTTAATGATTATGGAAACGGCTAAATTAGCATGTATGCGTCGACTAACTGTATGTAAATAAATTAACAGCCCTTAAAGGAAGCTTTTGAGTGAAAAATGTCCACGTACTGATGATTACTAGTTGCCACAAAAATCGAACCCAGTATGGTAGGCCCATTGTTCACTCTGGTTGGTATGGTATTTGCCATCTTGCAGACATGCTTCCCGAGGGAGCGTTTATCGCAGTACGGTCTTTAATAAAATTTAACTACTCTTGGCGAAGAAATGGCACGCGCCATAACTTTGAGAAATTTGACGTTTTCTTGGTTGAAAGAAGTTGTCAGCAATACAAAATCATGCACAGTTTTCCGAAAATACTTTTTGAACCATGAAGATCTGTCCAGAGGAAGCCAAGACTGATCTTATTTTTTCATTACAGTAGTAGAAAGGTATTTCACACATTGGAAGCTGTTCAGGCAATGGTCCATGGTTCAGGCATTCCCCCGGTGGAGGCCGTCTAGTCATAGGCTTGAGATCATTTATCTTTATTTGTTGCGGGGCGGGGCTTGTGTTTATTGCTCAACGAAATGACTTCCCAAGGTCTTGAGGACTGCATGTGGATTTGGGTTTGAAAAGTGTCACTGTTTGAAAAGGCTGTTTCGTCGTAGCTGCTGCTTCTTGATTGAACCTGAGGTTACACGTACATGTACATGCGTTTCTGTCTAATTTTCTTTTTTCTGTGAAAAATGTTGCCGTACGTGTGAGAATCTCCACAACTTATAACTTCAATCTTTATTAGACTAGTTTTCTATTGTTTTATCATAAGCTGGCGGTACCGGTGATGGACGAGATCCTGGCCTCCATAGGTCTTTCCGATGAAGTAATGAAAAATGCGACGCCCGTTGAAAAATGCGACGCTCGTCGAAAAATGCGACGCCGGATGGCACATATGGAACACCATACATGTCTGTGGGTTCCAGTCAGAGAGAGCAGCTGTCACAGCGCCAAGCGGCTTGCATTGTGAATGAAGAGAAGGAACAGACAGGTCCACTGCCCCGTCCAATTGGCGTCCTAACCAGACATAAATGAAATATAACGATCAGATATTGCTTCGCTTCACGAGATATTTATTGTTTAATCAAAACACTACATCTATATCTTTCTTCCGGGTTTGCGGGCGGGGGTAGGATTGGATAGTCTATGGGGCTTGCTGCAGACACGACCAACCCACACCCAACCCGCTGTCTCGTTCCCCTGAGAAACACTCAGGAGTTTCATAAAATGATTTTTAAAAAGACCCATCTGAGACTCTTAAAGCCCTTCCGCTAAGCTATACACCGGCAAACATCCCCCTTGCAGGTCTGTGACCTGGTTTAAATCTCTTCCAGGGTTTGGCGAGAGACTATTAAGTTTTCAGAAGGCCGGGGGCGTACCAGTGCGAGTTGTATTTTTAAGTGGTTCCCATCACCTGACAAAATGATCATGATTAAGTTAGGTTACCGACTCAACATGTTAATTTTTTTGGAAGTATGTGTCAGGAAATCTAATAGGCTAAAATCCTCAGAATTCTTTTGACAAAATAACAAACAAACTTCTGCGATTCCTAGAAAGGGGAAACCATTAAGAATGAGGTTGGAAAAGTTAACAAGAAAATGACATTAAGAATGAGGTTGGAAAACTTAACAAGAAAATGACACTCGAATACCACAATGTGCATTATGGATCATCGACACCCTTTTATTATGTTCAACAAAAAAGTTGCTGCCACATCTTTCAGTAAAGAATCAATGAAGACACACTTACACAGTAATTGATGGAGTTTTGATAAATGTGACCCAATCTGTGAAAATGAGTCTTAAGTTGCAACAGCCACTTTGAAGTAAAAAGTCCTTTAGATTAATTTTGCACAGTGTAAATCAATAGGGACCCACAACATTTTCACCATGGAGTATCCACCCTCATCAGAATGCCAAACTGAGTGATACATCAAAACAAAAAACTCAGTCTGCTCTTTCCAATACAAATGAAAACTCAAAAAGTGGCTCTGGTGACTTAAGACTCATTTTCACAGAGCGCGTCACAAATAACAATGGATGACGTATGTGACTGTTCTAAAGGTTTACGTCAAACAGTTCTCCCGAGTGGCAAGTCCAATCTTTTTGGAGAAAAATTCAAACCAAACACTGCCTCACCGGGCAATGAAGGGCATTTGGAGTCACAAGATAAATAGAGGTTATACGCTACTGGTGTCTCAGAGGTTCTTCTTTGTAACTTTAATATTGATGCAATGAATGCACTGAAAGTTTTCTCAAGCGTACTACAGTTGCAGAAAGAAATACCATCTCACGTGACGTCATACGCATAATGTCTATTCAAGGAAGTGGCGAAGAATTCTTTTCTCTCTACTCGCTGCGTGTGTCTATCTTGAACTTGAGGTATCACGCTCAACATCGGTGACGCTGGGGTCGGCGAACCATACTTCATGCCGATTCTCGTACTGTTCGCCTTGGAGCCTGTTTGGGGTTACGGATATTTATTTTATTTACGAAGCCCTTGTACTGTTGGCACAGTTTTTAACATTGTTAGAAAGAGCGACGTCCCTTAGACGGGTCCTCCTGGGAAGCCGGCTCCTGGGGTGCTGGGTGGCTGTGGGGGGTTCCGATCAATCTCACAGACGAAGGAGTTAGCCTGTGTACAGGGTGCAAAGGCCCACTGGTTGGTGCGGGTGTCCTTCAACACGCAGTTCCCATTCCGGCCTGCCTGGTCAAAGTTGCTGTAGCCGGCGGTCTGTGGGGTTATGCCACCAGGCCAGGCGAGGGCGCCGGATCCAAGTGGATCGCCCAGGGCCATCCAGATGTTGGGCGGGTTGGGGTTACCCTTCGGGCCCAGGAACCTCTCTAGCCGCCGGTCGACCTCGGCCGAGGGGATCGTCACCAGGGTTGAGCTCGCGCCGGTGGCGCAGGACGAGAACCTGGCGCAGTAGTCGCTCGCATCTTGCCAGGGCAGCGCCTCCTTGAAGAACTGGTAACATTTTTCGCCGCTGCCGGACCAAAGCGGCGGACAGTTACGCAGCTGGGCCGCACTCAGGCTGGCGGCCAGAAGAACCAGCAAGCATGTCGATAAGGCATTCATCTTGAACGCTTGGGTCTGTTTGGTAAACCTGGGTACTGGTCCGTGTCTCAGACGATCTGCACCTCGAATGCAGACCGGCATGCGATAGCTAAAAAACTGATGACCCGAATTCTCTCAAACTTTGCAAATCCCTGTGCCCATGCGCAGCAAAGCTTCCAGTACAGCCCACTGGTTTGAATATTCATCGATGATGATGACCTAATAATATACATATGCAGTGCTTAGAATCTGGTCACATTTGTCGTCTTCATATGTAACTTCACACAACAGGAAAACGGAGACTCAGACATCATCGTAACCAGAACTAATTTTGGATCTACGCAGAATTCTGTTGTTGCCCATTAAAAAACCTCCTGTTTGCGCTCAAGAATATCTTATTCCTCTTGTGGCATTGCCGCACGAGTTGCACTAGAAAGTATTTAAGACAAAGTCTTCGGAACACTCCCGTAACCTTGATTCTTGCTCGATTCTGAATGGGAGTGCCGATTGAACTATGACATTTTACTTATTCGCTAATAAAGCGACTGAGCCTAATATCCGAATGCACTGTTCGTGAGTGAAAAGAAAAGTAGAGGTCGAAGAGAAAATCTGCGCAGCCGACGCTGACATCAACTTCGTGATGGTCAAACGATAAAGTATTTCGGACACTTGTGTCACAATGCAAAAGTCAGTTCGAAGGGGGGGGGGTTGTGATACAGTGGTCAGGGGAGGGCTGTTTGACCACTCAATGTTTTCACCTCTAGGAGTGTACATAAATTTGCCTTCTCTTCGATTTTTGTCTGGTTTTACCTTTGATGGAAAAGAAAGGGGGAAAGCCCTAACTACCATTAAGTATATTTTCCAGGGATCTGAGTTTTTCCCTGTATTGACACTGCTGAGTTCTGCCTGTCTATTTTACAACGGTCATTTTTGTCAAGTCAAATACACATTAACCATTTCTCAAGTGCTGGATCCCCATATCGATTAGTCGATGAACTCTGAATATTCAATCTCGAGGCACATTCATTAATATAGCTTGCAAAAAAGTCGCAATCTAAAGAAAAGTACAACCGAATCAATCTGGGTGGTTGAAAGCGTTAAGACTCTACAATGACATTGTGAGTTCCATTTTATATTTAAAGGGAAAAACCGAGCACAATACCTATCACTGTATACGACCCGTAAAGTACAACGCATTCAAATGGCACATAGTCTGCAAGTCGTGATTATTTTTCAGATCTAGTTCTTTTAAGAACTTGTTTTCGATCTAAGTTACGCTGTTTGGAATTTGGACAAGCATGAGATGCCGATTCCAAATTGTACCTAATCAGCGATGTCAGTTAAATTCTAAACACCACGTTTTAAACCCGTGTATCGGTAATCGATAGGCCAAGGTCATAGAAAACGCATCCAACCTCTCCCATGTTAATATTCGTTGCAAAGACGTTATCACTATTAGAATCGATATTGCAGCGTGTTACCTCGTGCAGATTCAGAGAGGGGAAAGTCATCGAAAGTTGTGAGTCACGGAGCCGGCTCCTCAATGAGTAGGATGGCGGTGCTTGGCACGGGCTCAAAACGGAAATACGCCCCTTATCTAAAACGGGCTGAACCTAGAGGAACAGAGGACGTGCCTGGCAGGGACAGGTCAAGCAAAGGCCAAAGGGAGAGATCGAGGGGTTCTGTCCAGGGTTCTGTCCAGGCTTCCAATGAGACTAAACGGGCGTGGCGGAGTGTCAGGCCCTGTTCCATTGCATTTGGTCACGTAGATGCTTTCCCGAAATGTCTCGTCTTGTTTGTGAAAGTGCATTGCGTATTTTCTGTTTTATAACAGGTGAAATACGTAAGAGTAAAAATTTACTCCATCGAAGTGAACAACCCCCTCTCACTGAAACTAGGGACGAGACGAATTCCAGTGAAATTTAATCAATCGAGTGGATCATGATTCCACTTCAATGTCCACTGCATGGAAGAGGTTCCTTTTATAAGCTAGGCATATTTGAATCTACATGCAAAATGATTTTGAAAGATAGAACATTGAGTCCTTACTTTCACTCTTTCAGACTTCCAGGGATCAGTTAGGAGGATTGTTGAAGTAAGAGAAAAGGAAGAGAAACGTGATAGATAGGTCCAAGTTGGTTGGTTGCCTGGTGGGTTGGTTGATGAAAAGAAAGCAAAATTACAAAGCAAACTCTCAGGACAATTTTTTTTCGTCATGTGGAGTTATTTTGCGACAGTGTGACAGTCGATCAAGAGAAGGCTTCGTGTCGAGGCAGGCCTATATAAAATGAACTCTGAGAACTTTAACAGTTGTATCCTCCGACAACAGGTTCCAATTTCGTCTTTTGAAATCTCGGCTGCGCAAGGAAATCTATGAGGACACCAGTGCCGGTTATTATAGGAAATGCTGCCAACTACAGTCAATCAATTCTTACCTTTGGAGGGGAGGGCAAAGGTAGTCAAAAATACTTGAAAACTTATCGGTATATACCACGTTAGTTGAAAATCCGACATCCAGAACGTGTCTAAGTCAAAATATTATGAAAAAAAGGTTTTAAAGACGTCTGCATTTGTAAGCGGAGGTCGTGGGTTTGAGTCCCATCCGAGTAAGTTTGTAAATATTTTAGAAGGTCTCGGACAAGCACCAAGCATACAGTATTTATGATACGTGACTGTAAGGGCAAAGTGGTGTTGAACGTGCAGAAAGACTATACAGAACTTGTAAAGGTTATGAGATGCAAGCCACCCTGACCCACCTAGGATCCCTTTAAGCAACGGGAACATCGCTGAAACCCTTCGCACAAAATTGCCACTGGTTTCGCACCAAGAATGACTCATGATTAAACACGCTCCAGCTAATGTGTTCAGAGATCTCTAGACCTGGAGAACATCAGCGAACCCATGTAACGAGAAATGTTGAAGATTGAGCTAAAAAACCGGAAATGATCAGGACTTCAGAAAACATGTCTTGTATCCTGGGAATTTGTGAACTTAATTTTTCTTGAGAAGTGCAAATTTAGTTTTAAAAAAATGATCCGTGAAAAGTAATTTGTAACCTAGTGTCCACTGCCCACTATACACTGCTTAAGTTCTTTAATTGTAAATGCATGTGGAATCAGATGAAATGTTTCATTAAATTTTATGCTGAAAACTTCGATAGTCACTTTGCGAGTTTGGGGTGGAATAATTATTTTTGGAAGGAGCGTCAATTTCAAAGGTCTTTTGTTCTATTCACCGACTGGCCATCAACTCATCGTATATCATCCCGGGTTCCAAATGCGCACCATCTACTCACATTCAACAGTCACGCCCGTGACAAATCCAGCCCGTCGACTGCAAGCTTCCAGACCGTACACATATTGCCCTCATTCCCGTCCATCTTCTTACTAGATCTGCCACTCTGCTTTGGAAGAGGTTTATAGCTTCGTATTTCAAGCAATGGACTGATTTGCGCACGAACCGATCGTGCTCCTAAACCTTACTGTTTTACTCCAAACTGTATCCAAACTACGTACAAAACAAAATGCACCTAACATTATGTTTTAAGCATCGAATTCCTGTGGGCTGTCCCATGAGCTTTCAGGCTAGAGAAAGACCTAAAACTACATGCTAATGCTGTAAAATTATCTTCCATCAGAGCACTTTGTGGCATGTAGACTGGATGGTTTGTAAAAAGAAGGATGGAAGTTACCAGCAAGTCTGCCACTTTGTATGAATGAAAACGGGGAATTCCAAATTGCTCCATTTTGCAATGGATTGCAGGCATCAAATTTTCAAAATGGCGACGGGCTTTGCGACTGCTTTTGAGGGTGATCATCTCTGGGAAGAAATAAACTCAAAAGTCATCGGTTAAGCCACTCAAAATTGCAGAAAAAATGCAAATGAGACGACGAGTTTCAATTTGCTATGTGTTTTGAATACCTGGGAAACTTGTATCTTTCCTGATGTTTTTGAAGCGAGGGTATTTATCACTACATGTACTGTCTACAGCAGCCTATGCAGCTGGTTTGCAAGCGGCCAAGAAGCGCCCTCTGATATCACAAGAGGGCGTTCTACAATAGCGGCAGTGCAGTATGGGGCCGGGGATACCGAATCCGGGTAACAGTTGATTTACGTGACTCCGAGAGTGCGTTCACGGTTATTTTCCTCAGAAATCAGAGCCAACGCAAAGATGAGCAACAAAAGCGGAGAAAAGGAGAAAGAAGGAGGGCCGTCAATAGTAAGACAGGCTTCAAAAAAGGGCACTTGAACGGAAATGATTGTGGCTAGAACATACAGTGGATTTCCATGATCAGGGTGATGATCATGAATGTGGATGCAGTGTAGGCCTACTGCATGACCGTCACCTTGATGACGAGGCTGTACATATGTACGTTGTGGCGTACATATACACTGTACATGTACATCATAGGCCTAACACTAGCCTGCGTTAAAACTGATGTATGTAGGCCGAGGCCTATTTTTCATTCCTTCATGATCTGATCATGTGCCATGCCAGCCGTAATTATGTTGTATTAACTTGTATTGCCATGATTAGTTGAGGTGATTCTACCACCTCGACTAATCACGGCAAAGCAAACTGGTAGGTCTAGGCCTCGTACATAGGACTGGCACTGAACGCAATGGCATGGTACCAGTCTGCTTGGCCTATCATCATGACCTGTCCATGTTGCAAATGCTGGGAGTGCCAAAACCTCTATGCTAGCCTACTGACAATGGTGGTTACACAACAAAGGTTGAACGACCTGACAACTTGGCAAGATGTGATTTTCAGTTCTGCAATCAAAATTCAGGATGTATCAATGTTTATTTCAGTAATAAATGCAAAAACACAGTACTGATTGCCAGCCATCTTTGATCATATCCCAGTATCCTCTGCACTATATGCATATCCCGTCGAATCTATATCATGAGCTATATATGCAATCACACGTATGAAGCCAAACCACTGTTCACAACCATGCACAATGCATGCCATCTAGAAGCTCAACCAACCATAAAAACGTCACGTGTGAAATTTGGCACCGATAACATTCAGGCTTTATTTTCCTGCAGAAGAAAAACCCTCCCTGTCCACAATTTGGACCCAGGATTTGAACCCACACCCCATTTATCACAAACCATTATGCTGTAACCCCTTGACTACCGCAATTCACTCAAGTTGACAGTGTTTTTACTGTTGATATACCGATGAACTCCTGCAAGGCAAATCTAATATACATTGGACATGTGCAATACAAACACAACCACCGTGGTTTGGCTTCATATGTGTGATTGCTTATATAGAGGTACATAGTCCTTTCTGCAGTCATGTCTGATCCATTCTACTACAGACAATACCTGAACTAGGACCAGATTGCCCTTCTTTGTTTTGAAAGATGTAAGCCTAGGCCGATAGTCTTACAATGTCAGTCACGGACTAATTTGGTAAATTTAAGGACTCTACGAATCGCCATTTTGGACATCTGGACATGATCAGGCGACAGAGTCCCCGAGCACGTACATCTTTGTCTGTGTAAAAACCGAGCTTGCACGCACTCCGCCGACCAAAAACCATCCAAACTACTGAACAGATACATATGTATAAGATCAAACCACAGGCATGCAACTTGGACTTTCACAAATAAACCAGGACATTTCCATCTTCACAGGACTTTGTACAGTGTTTTCCATTTTCAATGGCATGAGTGTGAAGTGAAAAACAAGGAATCCTGCATGCCTGAAACCGATGGCATTTTGTCCAACTTGTGAAATCTAGGACAAAAGAAATTCACTGCGTTCTTGGCAAAAGGACACTAAAGGACCTCAGAGGGGTAATGAACAATTTGATTGGGCCTACAGAAGGGCAAACCAGGAAGTGTTGCCACGCGCGCCTTTCTCCTTTCATCACAAGTTCTTGTTCATGGGTAATTTCCAAAAATCAGGGGTCCAAAAGTGTGACATTTTGGTGTCCCTGTTACATATGACCTTTGTTATTTGACATGGAAATATCACGAGAATTGATTTCAAACTACATGTATTAATATCTGTTTGGCAGGTAATTTGCATTAATTCATCACCCTTGGAAATAAGAAAATGTGTTTTGAACTTACAAAATCATACATGTATGTCAGATGTAACAGGGACACGAAAAAAAATGGACCCCTAATTTCTGGAATTACCCACATTTATTCTATTCTTCCATTGCAATCAGAATGCAGAGCATGTCATACAGATGGCACATGTATTCCAGTCAAAGTGAAAAGTTCATGCCATGCCTTTTCAATCTGTTGGTAGCTCAAAATCAAAATCCCACTGTTTTTCTTGCCCATCAAAGGCCTCCGTTCATTCAGCCAACCAGTGGGAATCAGCCAGCTTTGGGGATAATGCACAAAAAGAGAAGTTTCTTCGGCTCATGGGTGGAATGAAGGTAAATTTGTTTGTTCAAGGTACATCAATCAGCCAAACATAAAGCGGTGTTCCAAAAAGTTTCTTTCTTTGGTAATGAACCAGTTTCCTATCTTTTAGGTTTTTCCTAATTTCCAACATTTACTGGACATTTAACACCCACATGAAGGACTGTCTGGTTTCTGTTCTAATCTGAAGGACAACATCTACATGTATTGATGATGGAGTATTTCAGCCAGGCCTGCTGCCTTGCAAAAAGAGCCCTAATTTTTCAGTGTTATATAATTTTCTTTTGTTCACGAAACTGGCACAGTGCGCTGCCGACGTCTTTTCAATAGGGGCCAGCTGAGCGTGCAGCAGTACTGTGTTGCTCATTGCTGCAGTGGTGGAGCGCTTTTGTCCCTGGTGGTAATCCGTTTGCGCTGATTGCCCCAAACCCTGGTATACGGTTTCAAAACAAGGATGGATTATCTCCCCTATTGACAATGAAAGAATGTTGGTAATTCCCAGCAGCCTGGTCTTTTGTTACAAGTACGGTCATTTGTCACAAGGCCCAGTTCCCTTTGTCCGATTTCAGAGACCCTGGCCATGCGTGCGAAGAATACGTGTCCGAAACCGGAATCCCTGGCGGCAAGGGGTTAAAAACAGATTGACATCAAAGTGACTTGAACTAAGAATATAAAAATTGGGTTCCTTAAAAGAGTCTTAATGACCAGTTTTCTGTTTGAATTGACAGAAGCAGCACACTGGACGTTTCGTGATAGGGGAGACAAACAAAGATGCCCACAGACGAACAGGTGAGAAACAGAATAGTGACACTCAGCAGACTGCAGCAACTTTGAGATGAGACAACCTAAAGTAGGTCGGGCTGGATTGACACATGAAGAGAGGTTTGGATTGCCTGCCCCCTGCTGACTTGGGGCACTCAGGCAGTCAGATTACAGAAAAGAAAGCTGTCATGGTGCATGGCAACCAGTGAAATCTCAGAAGCTGAAAACAACTTGCAGCCAATTTCTATACATTAGTAGAGCACAACTAGAAGGTATTTTATATACTGACATATTCCATAATTATCAAGGGACCCAGTAAATTTAAAAAGTATGACATTTGTGACCTCAACAAAGGAGAGTTACATCAACAAAGTGCAGAAATACAGAAGAATGAAGCTCAAAGAGAAACTCTGAAAATGTCTTCACAGGATTTGTACTAATCTTGGAAATATGTGCTCAGCAAATGCAAATTACTGACCAATGTCATTCATTTTTGACTAGTATCCGGCTATAGAATTGATTACTTTTTTTATGGCTGACATTTTCAGAAGAGGAAAACAAGAAGATGGAATCCAAGCTGGAACAACAGTATCAAGTGGGGCTGGAAAAGAAGCTGACAGGTCAGAATCGACGGCACGTTGGGCTGGGGTTTGTCGAACCTGAGGAGGAGAAAGAAGACAAGCCATCAGGGACACATATCCGGTTTGATGATGACGATGAGGTGTCGAAGAATTCCGAGACATCCAAAGGAAGCCCAAAGGAGGGAGGAGAAGATGCGGGAGACCAGAGAAGAGGCGACAAGGACCTTCACGGCAAAAAGGAAAGACGGGATGAGAGGCAGAAACGAGATGAGAAGAGGAGAGAGGGTGATGCAGAGAGGCGACGCTCAGAGGAACAGGTGGCAGAGAGAGGCTTCAACAGGGAGGGACAGCGGAGCGAGGCGCGAGACGGAAGAGCAAGCAGTCGAGACGAAGACAGAAGACACGGAGACCATGGCGACAGAGACAACCGAGAGAGGAAGGAGGACCGTAGCAGAAGAGACAGCCAGGCACAAAAGGAGGGACAGTCTGGCAGAAATGGTGACAAACACAGGCGCAGTGAGGAGGCGGCGGGAGAGACAACTGAACAAAAGAGGAAGAAGCACAAGACATGGGAGGAAGACAGTGGCTCCGAGTAGACTGGCTTTGACCCAAACGGTTGCTTCCCAAAGACCACTACTGCACCGTCAATGAGCCATAACCCTCTGCAATATCTACAAAATGTCACGCCTCCAGATTCTGAGGTACCCTGAGCCTAGGCAACACCCTACTTGACTTACATGTTCATGGAAGTTTGGATGAAGTACATGACAGCTATCGAGAGCCAAAAGTTGTATAAGAAAAAGGTATCTTGGTGATATGCTTGGTAGCACTTTCAAATCATTACTATAGAGCTGCTTACAAAATCTGCGTCTTTCACACAGTGCAAGCAAGCGAGCAAAGCTCCATTCTCCTGAGCCAAATTCTGCAATTATATTCACTTGTCTTTACATATAATTGCTATTCCTCTAGCGCTTGTTAACTTAGTAAACAAGTAATAAATCACATTTGTACTTTGCTGTCAAATGTAATTGTTGAGCTGCCTGAAACTCCAACACATGCTCGGTTAAACTTTAACTGGAGACATGAATGGCGTACCTGGATGTCAAATATGAATCAGCATAGTTTCCATTTCAAAAATTCAGCCCTCTCATGCCATGAGCCAGCACTGAAAGGGGCTTAGTTTGTCAACCTCATATCAGGTGGTGACTTCAAGAAGGTTTCCCCCCTCTGCCTAGGAGCACGGGCGCTGTCCATGTTTATTCAGGTGGCTTGCCAGTATCAGTGCTTGCCAACAAAATGCATGACCTACAACATGGTGACATTTTCTTGCAGAGTGTAACTGCCCTTGGTAATAAGGTAGCAACGGTGAGTTCAACCTTTTGGTTTTGTAAACAAACAAAAAGATGACTCACTTTGGGACGGGCAGTTAGCCAAAATGATTCCACACTGCGATAAATAAAAAAGCTGGCTTATTAGAGTGAAATTAGAGCTTGCCTTAAATCAGCAGTTAAGAATGTTTTTTTAAGTTTCATGTGGTGAAGTAGACTTTAGGAGTTTAAAGTAATTAGAACCTCCAGGCTGTAACAATAAGCAGCACACAAGTCGAACCAAAGACAGTCAAGTTGTTCATCACCAGCGTTTCTCAGAACTCCCTTGCCTTTTGACAATTCACAAAAGTTGTACATTTGGCAGAACTGCAGACTTTCCACAGTTAACCGAAGCATTTGTTTATAACCATGTCACTTCATCTGCATTTGTCATATTTCTTGGAATAATAAAGATTTTCTGCACACACACCTGAGTTACAAAAGGACTTGGGTCTGTAGTGGTCTGGTTGAAAGTCAATATATACGTTTGGGACTTTTCATTTCACTGATCATGCAGTGGGACATCTGAGAAGCAAAAGCTTGTCAAACTTAACTTAGTGTTGTATATACATTTACTTCCTATTCAAGGCAAAGGTAAACCCATAACACTTTCCCCAAAACCAGAAAATAGAGAAACAAAACCGCTCCTAGCCTCCCAAGCAACAAATATTGAAGTTCTTGACTTCAGAATGTATATACATGTTCACACGAAGGGTTGGGGTTACATAAAGTCGACATAGTTCATGTTACATAAAGTCGGCAGGGTTGGGGCCCAACATGAACTCTGCCAACTTT